CTTAGGTCTGCAGTAATTGTTTGCTTGTCAGTAATAGCATGATGACAAATGCTTTGTAAGGATAACTTACTAAGCAGCCATTTCCTGGCAGCTGTCCTCTGACAAAGCCAGCTCATGCGCTGTTTGTGTTGTACTTGCAGGCTGAAGAGTGATGGCCTCTGTATTATTATTAGATGGTGTTTTAACAAGGCTATTCTTTCTGCTTATTGCATTTAAAAGGAAGTTTGTTCATGAGCAGAGGAATTTTGGGTATAGGTGCGTGTTCCTGAGGACAGCAATTCCAGCAGTTTGTAATGTTTACTGTTAAGTGATTTATGTTTTGTGTGCTTCTATTGCTCCAGAAATGATGTTTATGGGTGAAGTTTATAATGATATGTATAAATAATATATTTTATATATAGGCTTTGAATCCTGATTTGCAGTGCTACACAGGGGTTGGATTTTCCTGCTTTATCTTCTACAGGTTGGCCAATTCACTGAAAACAATGTACTCCCTATGAGGCTGATGTCTTATCTCAACAGTTGTTAAAATGTATCTAAACCGAAAAACAAAATTCTATATATAATGCAATTGTATTAGACATTGAAGCTTAAATGTGCTTAGATGTAGTGTCTGCATTGTTTCAGTGTTTTATTTTCTTAATTTTTACCTAATAATCCCACAAATACCACCCTTCGTGTCCCTGGTTGGCTATGCTTACTTCTCCACTTTATCTATGGAGGGAGCAATGTGTGTCACACTCGGCTGGAGTACAACCATATCTGCCTTTGTCATTTCCATTAAATAGCATATTTGATACCCAGAGCAGATCATTTTTTAACACTCCCTGCCCACAGCTTTACTTTTAGTACAAGTCACCAAATTAAACCAATAGTAATAAGGGCCAGACAGCCAAATGCCCCCTTACATTGGCGGTCAGTGAAAAGAGCCCCCTTACATTGACAGGGTTAGTCACAAAAGGGTGAAGGGTTTGGAGAAGGGAGGAGAAAGGAACAATCTAGGACAACATAGCTGATTTGGAAAAATTCTCCAATTCATCTCATTTTCCAGTTCAGCAACGTTGTCCTAGATTGTTCACTTCTCCTGCCTGCTCCAAAACCTTCACCCTTTTGTGAAGAACCTTGTTAGTTGACATTTTGGGCCCCTTTCTAGTTGGTGAAAAAGTTGATGAGAATATGTATGCTTGACCTGGAGTACTACATCACGGGATTTCTATTGATCTTCGGGTATTCGCGATTAACAATGCGAGAAGGAGGTTGTGAAAGTGTCTTTTGACCTATGTATACAACAAGGTCGCAGCAACTCCAGTTAGTCTACTGCAAGATGGAGGAGCTTAGTGGTGGATGCAATAACTGGCTGAATTTTGTGGACTTGTATGTTTGTGGTGGATCTTCATGTAATACACAGACATAGACTTAAAGAAGAACTCCAGAATCTAAAAACTTAACCCTTGTAGATGGTCTACCCTGTACTGCAAGGGTTAACTGCTCATTTTGGTCTATTTGTTTAAATAAAAAATATATATTCACCTGATCTTCAATCCCTCTTGGCTGCTAGCCTGTTCATCCCCGGGCTCCACCGGTCTTAGTCCTGCTGAAGCAGAGTGGGAAAGAGGTGAGTTAATCTCAGCAGGACCGAGGATAGGGTGAGTATATCTTCTGTATTCCAGCCCCTAAAAAAAAAAAATAGTAGTTAATGTTTTACATATCTGGATTTCTTCTTTAAATATATTATATGAACTTTGTTTTTGCATGATCTACACTGAGGTTGGACATTTTTATAGAGTTTAACATGAAAACTTGTGGTAACTTTGTAAACTATCCCAAGATAAGAGGGATTTGCTCTGCATTTATCAGTGATTGGTAGCTCTGTGCTGTTTTGGCATTCGGCTCGGCTGTTTTGCTCGGTCTCTCTGTGGGACCGAGCAGAACAGAAAAACAGTTTAAAAAGTAGAAAAATAAAAATAGAAAATGATTGTGCGGAGCTAGCAATTACAGCTACGGTAGCTCTGCCCAGCAGGCGGTTCTGCTGCCGTCAAAAAAGAAGAAAAAAAGCCTAAATCTCCCGAGCGCTCCGTGAAAAGGCAGTGTTTCTCTCCTTGACGGCCTGGAGCGGGAGACTCCCGGAGCGCCAGTTAGAGTTTGCTGTCTGGAGATCAGTGTCCCTGGTTAGCTGGTAAACAGGGACGCTGATCTCTCTGCAAGTGGCCGGAGCAAGCCGTAAGATCACAGCTGGCTCCGCCCAGCTGTCAGAAGCAGGCTGTCTTCGGCTTTCAGTGCAGCTCAACCGAGCCGAGGGATATGCCTTCGGCTCGATTGAGCCGCTCAGCCAAGTTCGGGAGCTGTACGGGCTATAGTGAATAGTCCGTACAGCAGCCCTTTGGTTCTACTGAACCGAATGGGTCCTGGGGCCGAAGCTAGCCGAAGGATCGGCCGAAGTTACGGCTAGATCCTTTGGTTGCTTCGTGAATAGACCCCTAAGTGTTACTTTTCAGTGTTAGACCAAAAGTTAAGGATCGAGTGAGGTCAGTCAGGGTTAATTGTTAGGGTCAGGTGTAGTGTCAAGGGTTAAGCATTAGAGTTACATCAAGGTTTAAAAGGCAAGGTTAAGTGGTAAGGGCCAAAAAGAGGGATTTTGAAAAAGCCAGCCCCCCCCCCCCAATATAAAGGGGAGAGGGCAGGGCTGTCATAGTGTCAGCTGACATTAGGGTCAGTTAGGAAACCTTTTTTGTAATTTTTGGGAGCTTTTTGTCCTACATTTTGTTTTGTAGTTGTTCAGCGGTCATTTTAAGAGATAAGCAGTTACATCAATAGAAAACTGGAAAACAAGGGTCTTTGTTTTAACTTAAAGGAGAACTATGAGATGAGTTCTCCTTTGAGTAGTTCTAGCCGACCTGTGACAATGAGACTGTCACAGGTCGGCTCAGTAGATCGGGAGGTGAGCGAACACATACCAGGTTCGCTCACCTTCCGATCCTGTCACGGCTCTCTGCCGTGACAGGGGGAGGGGCTGGATTCTGCTTAGTGAATAGACCCCTTAGGCTCCATTCACATATAGCATTTGCGTTTCCCACATGGTTTTCCGTGCGGAAAACAGTGCGAAAACGCAAAATGTTTTAATCCGTACGGATGCCGCTCCTTTGAGGGTATTAAATAGCTGAGAACATGCAGAAATCGCCGTATTGTGGCGCTTGTACTATTTTGGGGGCCACATGGTTTCATACCACGCAGTTCTCGCAATAGTCCCCGCAGTAGTCTTGAAGAGCATTGTTTTCTCTGTTTAGAGTGGCTTCACGTGTATCCGTACAGCCAAATAAACGCAGACAGCCATTCCGGTGTGAATGGAGCCTTAGGGGTCTATTTATAAACAATTTGCAGCGTCATTTGCTCTATGAATCTCTGTGAACACTTGTTAAGTTTAACTAAATATTTGTTTCCTATGGTCCTGCTTCATCTAGTGGCCATATTGTGGTATTACATTACATTACATTCATAGTTACATAGTATTTGAGGTTGACTAAAGACATATGTCCATCAAGTCCAACCTATTGTGTGTGTGTGTGGGTGTAAAGATCCTCGCGTCATCTCGTTTTTAGGAGTACTTGTACCCCTGTATATTACCGTTTCTCAGGAAATCGTCCAAAAGCCTCTTGAATGATTCCAGACTATTAGCTGAAATCACTGCTTGGGGCAGTGAATTCCAGACCCTAACCGCGCGAACTGAGAAGAATCCCCTTCGCCCCTTGTGTTTGAATTTTTTTTCTACCAGTTTTAGGTGGTGTCTTCTAGTCTTTGTTACAGAATTAATCGTGATGAGTTTATTGCTAATGTTGCTATGACTATGGAACATTTTGTATGTGAAAATCATGTCCCCCCTTTAACCTGAAAATATACTAAAAGTTTATTTTTGCCTCTATTTGCACAAAACAAATGTTCACAGAGATTTGCTGGGGGAATGGCTCTTGACTTAACACAAACTTCTAAACCTCAAATTTTAACATCTATACCCACCCTTAACCTAACCCTTAATATTAACATTAAGCCCCAAAACAACTTTCCTGATTTGTTGCTTTGAAAGCTTCCATTGTAGCAGCAATATCTTTCAATATTTTAATATACTTCCGCTTAAGAACTGTATAATGCATATAAAAACCTATTTTAGGCTTAGTTTATTCTCCAGTGTCATGGTCATCTCTTTCTCTATGAAAATAATAATGTACAGGTGTTATATAATGCCAACAGTTTGTGAAGCGCTTTACAACATATGGGGTACGATTACAACACCATGCAAAATGATGAGAGGGACCCTGCTCATGAGAGCTTACAATCTATAAAATGGAGTGCAAGTGATACAGACGGTAACTGTGAGGAGAGTTTTCAGGGATCGTCTAAAGGCAGACAGATTGGGAGATATCCAGATAGGTTGTGGTAGGGAGTTCCAGAGTATGGGAGAGGCTCATGAGAAGTCCTGGAGACAAGCATTGGAGGAGTTGATGAGGGACCTAGACAGCAGGAGGTCTTGGGAGGAGCGAAGAGGATGGTTTGGGTGATATTTTGAGATGAGGTTGGAGATGTAATTGGGGGCCGAGCTGTGGATCACAAATGTTTGATCAGATCTATGTGGAGTTTGGATGAACAGCATCACATTTTAACATTTTCAAATTCGAATTTGTCATTCAGTATGTCTACCCACAAAATTGCCTCCTTTTTTATGTTTATATAATAAGCACATCTTGAAAACATAACTTTATTTAAGAGGAAGACATAACACCTTCATGAAATAATAGGACATTTTCAATGAAGGCATTCAACAAAGTCCAAAGTCTCAATTATATAACAATGTTGCTTCTACCTCAGACTTAGACCATTGAGGATTCATATCTCCATCCACATGCACAGATTTTTTTTTTACAGGTGTTCATAGAGAGTGATGTTTCATTAACATATAGAATCATATGCATATAATTATCTTCTTTAAAAATCCATACATAAGCTACAGTTCAGGCCAAAGAGCCATCAAGGGGCTCTTTTTCCTCCGGACTGCCATGTTCTGCTTCAGGGTCCAAGCGTTCCACTTCTTTAAGCTCCCTGTGGTATTTTGCCGTAATAGCAGCATAGGCACAGCCATAGATGGCAGCTGCCAACATCATTAGGCATACAATCCCACACACCACCCCAGTGATGACAACGGTGGCTATGGCATGTCTCAAGCTCACAGGACGGGGTTTGGGCTTTGGCTCACATTCAGGGTGACTGCCATCTGCATGATCATTGTGGTGGCCAAATTTGCCATTACTGCGGTGCTCAGGGCTGTGATAGTGAATATTTGCCATAACGGGTGGTGGAGCAGTCAGTGGAGTACAAGTCTTAAACATCTCATATGGGATTTTCAGCAGATCCTTTCCCTTTCGTATTGAAGGGCCACTGCAAATTAGCTCGTCAATAATCCCTCCTAAAAGTAAAAAAGGTATTAAAACAAAACAGTGAATCATTCACTTAATCTAAAAAAAACAAGAGTGTTGCATGAAAATGATAGTGTTAGTTGCTTTTTTGTACATTTGAAGGTTTTATTAAAGTGTGTCTACACCCAAGAACAAAAATATAATTCAATGTAACTGCCCTTAGATGAGGTGGTTGAATGAGCCCTTAAAGGAGAACTATGAGGTGAGTGATTTTCACTCATCCTCATAGTTAGAGCCGACCGGTGACAAAGAAACTGTCACAGGTCACCTCTATCGATCAGGAAGTGAGCGGAAACATCATGCACCCATCAGCAAACTTCCCGATTGTCTTCGTGCAGGGATTTCCCCCTCCCCTCTATGATGCTCTAGTACTGACTGGAGGAACGAACGGGTGAAGGGGCGGGCACAGCTGGCTCTGCCTCTAGCTAGGCAGAGCCAGCTGTCACTCATGCAGCTGTTGGATCTCAACAGTATTGTCGGAACCCAATCCCAGATGCGGTGCCCGCGATATACTGAGCTTTTGGGTCATGGGAGGAGGTTAGTATATGTCCTTCCATGACCCTAAAGAGAACTATGGGGAAAAACACTTAGACCATAGTTCTCATTTAAATTTTCACCCGATGGTCCTGCCAATAAAACACTTCTTGTCCTAGGGTGATAACGCTCACTCACCATACTGTACTTATGGAGGAGCAACTTGTCACCCTAGGCTGCTCTCTCCTAATCTGGGCCACAGAACACCTCTCTCCCTTCGCATCTCCATAATATAGCGGTCAGTGTTCTGTAGACCACAGAATAGAACTGGGCAGGGCTGATAACACTGCTTTTCACTGCAGCCTAGACTGAGTACAAAGTTGGGAGCTCACTTGGTTTCTGGCAAGATCACCAGGTTTTTTTTATGCTTGCAGAGTTAAAATGTGCATGTATTGGAGTAAAGTACCAACAATGATTTTACTATTTTGCCCTGATGTACACTTAAATTGTTTAAACGTAATGAGCTCTTTGTCCGTGTTTTTGTTTATAAAACTCTCTCTACATTATCATCTATGGCAAATATGTCTTGCAAAGCAATACGGTTGGAATGGTTGTATGTTTGTAGGCAGCTCCAGGACATGAGCCTAAAGTTTCAGTTCATCTCAGACTGATAAGTATTAAAGAGGAAATCCAGGAATTGTAAAAACAAACCCTTGCATTGGGGCTACCCCTGCACTGAAATGGTTAGCTGCTCCTTTTGGTCTAGGGAACGGAATAAAGATGATTTACTCCCTTGATCCTTGGTCCTGTGGCGGTCAGGGCTCCCCTCTGTCCCCTTTCACTCTGGTGGTGGAATGTCCCTTTGCATCCTCACGACTAATGCACTTGCATTAGATGTGAGGACATCACGCCTCCTTAGATTGTCGGAGCCTGTGGGAGAAGAGGCTGCGGGGACTGGTCTACCAGCCAGAATCAGGTAAGTATATCTTCTTAATTTTAGCCCCTAGATCAGAAAGAGCAGTTAGCCCTTGCATGTGGTGGTAGCCCCACTGCAAGGGTTAATTTTCCAATTTGTGGAATTCATCTTTAAACACTTTCAACGTACTTCATTTAGAAAGCTTGTCTCAGCAGCCATTTAGCAATAATTCTGATTGTATTTCCCGACATTCATAGCTTTTAAATTAATTACTTATTTTTACTTTTGGATAGAGCATAGAAGGTTAAAACCCCTGGTAGGTTTTTATTGTCTTTTGTATCTCTGCTGGAGAACTTAACCCTCTCTATGTGACCTGGTTACAATTCTTACAAACAGTGATGAGAAAGCCAACATTTGTCACCACAACATGGAAAATGGGGAGTCCCAGGGTCGTCCATATAATAAGGCAGCCTTGGGTGGTATCTCATCGGGGACCTTAACGGGGACCAGATTGTTTAGAGCTGAAGCAAAATGTAATGGTCGGGCTGACAGAAAGCTGGGCGGGACGTGGGACAGAGGTACCTTGCACCCCTCCCAGTCCCCTGTAACATGTGCCACAGCCCCATACTTCCACCCCTGCCGCAGGTGGGAAAAAGTATAGGGACGCCCCTGGGGACACCAGTTCTGGTGACAGCAATATAAGCAAGGATTTCCCCTCACTTTGGTGTGATTTCCTCTCACCTTCTATTGTCCAAATTGGCAAGGGTTTTACTCGTCCCCAACTCTATCTAAAACTAAAAACATAAAAAGCAAAAAAAAAAGGGGTCTATTCACTAAGCTGCCATAGGCAGCCAAGTGAAAGACCGACCAGAAGTGAAGTGAGCCGTATATCGGCTGAAATCAGCCGTACATAGGGTGGCTTCACGTGGCTTCGGGTCGGCCGAACATGCTCAGCATGTTCGGCTGACCCGCAGTGCAGGAGGAGGTCGCC